CAGCTCATCCCCAACGTCCAGCAGCTGGAGACAAACCTGAGAAACTTTGCGCAGATCATAGAAGCTGATGAAGTGCTTCTGTTTGAGAGAGCCACCTTCCTGGTGAGAGCAACTGTTCCTCTGGCACGACCCGGCAGAACATATGGATGTAGTTATGAAACTTTATATTTTTATGTTTTTAATGCAGGTGATCTCCCACTACCAGTGCAAAGAGCAGCGCGATGCCCACCGGTTCGAGAAGATCAGTAACATTATCAAACAGTTCAAACTCAGCTGTAGGTAAGTTCACTCTGCGGGAACATCAACGTCACACCACACACTGCGTTCCTGTCAGAGGTGGGAAGTAGTGGAGTACAAATACTTCGTTACTGTACTTAAGTACATTTTTCAGGTATCAGTACCGCTACTTATTTTTCTGACGACTTTTTACTTTTACTTCTACCATGTTTAACACAAATACCTGTACTTTCTACTTCTTACATTTCTAAAACAGGCTCGTTACTTTAGTTTTAATCTGTGTTTGGTGGCCTGATCATTATTATTGAGAGTCATTGTGTGCCTATTGATTTTAACACGATCCGTGTATCCATCATTTCCTGGTCTTCTCTAAACAAGAGCGACCAATGAAAACGTTGTCATGTTGCCGTTGTTCAGCATCGAAACATTCATTAGCTAACAATGACAATATTGTTCTATTAATATAAAGGGAGGTCAGTTACTCTTTAAAACAGCTGGTAGTTATGGGTACTTTTTACTTAAGTACATTTCGAAGCCCATACTGCTTTACTTTTACTTGAGTAAGGTTTAGTCAGTACTTCTACTTTTACCAGAGTATTTTTAAACACAAGTATCTGTACTTCTATTTGAGTAAAGGATGTGTGTACTTTTGCCATCTCTGGTTCCTGTTAGAAAAATATCACTCGTCAATATCAGGATACATGTATTTATTATCCTTGCAAGAATGGAAGTATTCATCACATACAGAGCATATGGTACAAGTAGTTCCTGAACAGTGTCCTTCACATGCTTTATATACAAGAGAGGGTGTTACACAGTCACAAGATGGAGGAATACCGGTTCAAAGCAGTATACAATGTTTAGTTTAGATTAGCTAAGACCCACGTCAGAATTGATCATGCTTGTCATATGTCTATCTCCATAGAGGCTGAATCATCATGTTAATCGTTGTCACATAGCTATCATATGCCTAAATCTCTTTTTTGTTTTTCTAGTAAACTTGCAGCCTCTTTCCAAAGCATGGAAGTGAGGAACTCCAACTTTGCGGCCTTCATTGACGTCTTCACCTCCAACACATATGTCATGGTCATCATGTCCGACCCCTCCATTCGTAAGTAGTGACGATAAAGACCGAATGTGCTGTCGAGACACCCAATTAGCATGATATTAATCCATGTTTCCATTTTTTCCCCAGCATCTGCAGCCACTCTCATCAATATCCGTAATGCTAGGAAACATTTTGAGAAGTTGGAGCGGGTGGATGGACCCAAGCACAGCCTGCACATGCGGATGCGCTAACCGGTGCGTTTTGTCCCGGTGGATACTCTCAGCCAATCAGTCGTCAGAAAGACCGCAACGCGCCGTGTGCCGTCTTCTAGTTCCGACACACACGAGCAGCCCTGCACTGTTTCCTCTATATCTTCATATTCAATCACAGTTATTACTGGAGAAATCATATTTTCTTTTTTGGCCTAATTTCTACAGTGATAATAAGTATTCTGTTGGATATATTTGCCCTAACCCGACGCATTAAAGTAAAAGGAATTGTTTGTTTACTTTAAAAGAGGGGGGGAGGGGGGGGCTACCTTTGCTGGCACACTTTGTCTTATCCTGCAGTAGATTGATTCACTCCTTCAGGTGAATCCCAGTGATCGGGAGATGTTATCTCCAAATGCTCATGTTTAATTTTCAAATGCAGTTTGTAAGCTGTTACACTTTGAAAGTACAAACAATATAGTTATATACTGAAACAAATCCTAAGTGCTGTGTTTTTTGTCTGCTTTTACATTTTGATAAACATTTTCATCAATGGAATGCAATTCAACAATGGTACATGGGTGATGAGCAGATGTACACATGGTAGGGCTGCTCGATTATGGCAAAAATCATAATCTCGATTATTTGGGTCAATAATTGATATCATTTACTTTGAAAACATCCATTTATTGAAAAAAAAATTTGAACTATGTTTTTAACAGTGGATTACCCTGAACTTTAAGTATAATTCAACTGAAAAACCAATAAAAAAAATATTTAAAAAAAATTAATAAAAACAAAAACAAAAGATTAATCGTTTTATTTCGATTATGTTGTTTTCATAATCGTTGCAAGCCAAAATCGTAATTGCGATTAAAATACGATTAATTGAGCAGCCCTAACACATGGTACAGTTTACTTCACACAATCAGTTCATTTCACCACATTTAACAATGTGACAAACAGCTGAGTTAAGCTTTAATGGAGAATGAATTTTGATGTCCTTTGTTGGCTCGATTAGATCCTAATGCCCCGGAATACGGCTGTTCAGTTTCATTAAAGAAACTGTAGAATGTTCATAAGAACATGCTTATGAATTAGAAAAAGGCACTACTTGCTTCCTACTTGTCCGCCGTTGTAAAACAAATTTGCATTGATTTTGAGTCATAGGGTGACATAAGGAAGCTATTGGAGAAATCCAGGAGTTACATAAATAATATCGTAAAAATCATCATAACGAACAGAAGGTGGACTCAAATCTAATAAAAGAGATGCGTCCTACCTTCCCAGTGTAGTTATACAATTGTGGATTGATCTGGAGTCACTTGGTCACATTACATGGAAGCTATTACAGAAATGAGACTTTACAATAAATAAAGTTTTCATAACAATATTTATATAAAATTGAAAAACCACTAAAGTCAGGTAAAATATTCCAATGGAAATAATTTAATAATAATTATAATTATTGTATTATTATATTTATTAACACTTATATTATTTATTTTATAATTATAATAATCTTAAGTGTTCACCTCCCCGGTGCTGATGGAAAGTGGCACTTTAGCTGCCCCCTGGGAACCTTAATGCGGCCTTCTTATTGGCACCACCACCCCTTCAGTGGAGGGCCGACTGGGGACACCCGGGACTGGGCAGTGCCCCAGGTAGAAGGAACCGGGTCAAACGGCCCAAAACTGAAGAAAAAAGAAAATAAATAGATAAAGTAAGTAAGTAAAACTTTATTTATATAGCACCCTTCTCAACACGAATGTACAAAGTGCTTTACAGTACAGTACACAATTCACAGTACAAAATTCACCTTAAAAATCTCTATTGAGGGAGAGGTTTTTATTTTCTGGGGGAGTTTGTTCCATAGCCTTGGGGCCACCGCCTCAAATGCACGGTCCCCCTTAGTTTTTAGCCTGGTTCGGGGCACCCTTAGGAGGCCTTGCTCAGAGGACCTCAGGGCCCGGGTTGTGCTGTGAGGGTGGATCAGGTTATTGATGTATGCTGGCGCTTGGCCATGGACAGCTCTATATGTGTAAACCAATACCTTAAAGTGGGTTCTGAGATGGACAGGGAGCCAGTGCAGGGCAGAAAGAATCGGGGTGATGTGGCATGTTTTTTTGGACCGAGTGAGCAATCTGGCTGCAGCATTTTGGACCTGTTATAACCGGTTTATTGATGTTTTGTTGAGGCAGGAGAACAGAGCATTACAGTAATCAAGCCGGGATGAAATAAAGGCATGAATAGCCATCTCCATTTCTGCGTTTGATAGAACCCCCCTGAGCTTGGCAATGTTTCTGAGATGGAAAAAACAGGTACGGGTCAGAAGTTTGATGTGTTTGTCTAGTAGCATAGACTGATCGAAGGTTACACCAAGGTTTTTTATGTTTGCCCTTATGTTACCACTGAATGAACCCAGGTGGCTGAGGCGATGTTATCAGCCGCTAAGATCAAGACTTCCGTTTTTGATGCATTGAGCTGTAGGAAGTTGCTTGACATCCAATCCTCAATTGCAGACAGACATGTGATGAGGGCATTTTCCATTTTGACGGGTTTGAAAGAGAAATATATTTGGATATCATCTGCATAACAGTGATATGAGACACCCTTGAATTGGCTAATTAAGCGGCCCAATGGGAGCAAGTAGCCACTAGGGCAAAAAGAAGGGGGGCTAAAACAGAACCCTGGGGCAGGCCGCAGGATAGGGGAGTGCTATGTGATGAGAACGGCCCACTGCCACGGAGAAACTTCTCCCACTGAGGTACGAGGCAAACCACTGGAGGGCAGACCCTGAGATGCCTACCCACTCCCTGAGTCTATCTAGCATGATGGCGTGGTCCACTGTGTCAAACGCTGCACTCAGGTCCAACAACACCAGAATGGTGATATACACAGTGATAGATGTTAAGGACTAACGTTTATAATAAATACATTTGTATTGATTTTAAGATCTTTTCATACAATCATACGTATTGGGATCATTTGTATTAATGTGGACCGGAGGGAGAGGGTGACGAGCATAAGTTTCACTTTCCTTTTTTATTTCAATTCCAACTTTGGTCATGAAGAATATGTTTCTCTGTTGTCCCCGTTCATAAAGCATAACAACAGCATCAGAGCACGGTGATGACAGTACAGTTACAGTAGTCCCTCGTTCTTATTAAACATCCATGTTGTAGTCCGCTGAAAACTGTAGTTTCCATAGTTTCCCCACAGCAGCAGACGCACATTTATGACCTCCGTCCGCTGGCGCATCATAAACACGTCGGATAGTGAAAGTGCAGTCGGATTCTCTAAAGTACCGCAGTCTCTTCTCCTAAATCCTTTTGAATTCTCCTATCCACTATCCCTTAACCCCGTGACGTTTCACTCAGAGGTCAAGGAATAGACGATAGGGTTAGAACTTAGGAGCTGAGTTGTGGACTATTCGACCGCAACCACGGTCTCAGCCGTTAAATAATGACCATTTCCGGTATTACTAGAGTAACGATTACAGCCGTTATAATGCATTAAATAAAAAGTCATGAAAGAGAGTAGGGGGAGAAAAGGCGTGTGGAATTGAGCAATGAATACAAAATGTCGAAATCGTCTGTTACGCGCGATCTCGGACATTGAAGATCGAGCTGGGCGACCCCCTACGTCACAGCCCCCAGAGAGGAGGAGCGAAGGAGAGATGCAAGCGGGAGAATCAACGTGAGCTGGGTCTCTTTCCTTGGTACCAGCTGCGGGACAACATCTGCTTTTGTCTCCCCAACTACCCTTTGTTTGTTTCACTACCACGCTGCTTAAATTAAAGTAACCAATTTGAACCCTTACAGAGACTCATTTGTCTCTTAATCTTTAAACTTCTTCCTGGACGCGAGAGAATCAGCACACATCTATGTATGTACAGCTCTCAACATGCCCAGACTTGTAGTGATTTTCACCTCTTTTAATACTTTTCGCCTCATTCTGAAAGAAAGAAGTGAAATGTGCCAACGTGACGGCCGTCTTGGTGTGTGGTGCGAGACGGGAGATGTAGTTCATTGAGCGGTTTCACACAAAAAAAGTGTTACTTCACAGTTTTACGACACATTTTTTTTTTTTTTACTTGTAAAATTATCTTTTAAATTGACAAACATCATATGTGTAATTCGTGGCACAATTCAAACGGGATTGAAAGATAATCTTTCTCTCTCCATTGACTTCAATGCATAACTTTTCCGAAATAAGGTCCCATGGAGCTCAACCGGAAGGGGAGGGACTTCGCCTCTCGCGGTGTTTTTAGTGGCCTCTGCTGTCAGTGCAGGGGGAAAAAAATCATTCATCTTCATGTTGACATGAAAAGTGACCGCACGTCGATGTCTCTGTTCATCTTTTTTCTCTCCATGCCCTTAAAAGTTCTGTGTAAGAATAATTAAAAAAATGTAATGAATGAACATTAGCGTCTGCTAGTAACCAAACATAAACATTAAATATGTCTCATCATTAAAACATGAAAAGTAAAATGACGGGTAATAATGGATTATGACGGAAATGTTACGATCCTGTCCGTCAAAATGACGAACAACGAAAAAGTCTAACGCCACCACTGCTGTTGGTGTCACTGTTTAGCAGAGGGAAGACAGCTCTAACAGACTGTTACCTCCCACCTCCTCCTGTTTGTGCTGCAGATGGACCTGAAGGCGTTGGAGACGAAGTGGAGGACGGCGCTGAGCTCCATCCTGGACGAGCTGACGGGCGAGGAGTTCCGGAAACTTCTGTTTAACCTGGAGAAGATCCCTCAGGGGTTGAAGGAGGGGCGGGTGCGGGGCGAAATGCCCAGCTTCATCATCCAGTACTACAGCACCGAGCTATCCATCACACTCATCGACCGCCTGATGAGGAACCTTCCCAGGCTGGACGCCGCCGTGCAGCAGCCTCTCAGAGGCATGAAGGACGAGCTGAAGAAACTCCGGGAGAAAAGCAAAGGTCAGCTCAGTAGGGGGTGTGTTGGACGAGAGCCAGACCTCCTTCTCACAACGTTTTACATAACTCTTTCACTTATTTCGTAGCAGTACAAAATGAAACAGAACCAGAGCAGACCCCTGGAAAACACTGTTAAACAAACGTTGCATTTTGTATATTTCTAAATGTGTGGAACGTGGTGAAGGCCGATGAACCTCCTCTCTGATCCTTCGTACACATAATGTTTCCGTACACGTTTCCGTACACGTTCCCAAATACGTTTCCGTACACGTTCCGATACACGTTTCCGTACACGTTCCCATACACGTTTCCGTCACGTACCAACATACGTTTCCGTACACGTACCCACATACGTTTCCGTACACGTACCCACATACGTTTCCGTACACGTTCCCACATACGTTCCCATACACGTTTCCGTACACGTTTCCATACACGTTTCCGTATACGTTTCCGTACACGTTTCCGTACACGTTTCCGTACACGTTCCCGTACACGTTCCCATACACGTTTCCATACACGTTTCCATATACGTTTCGATACACATTTTTGCACCCGATTTTCTTACTTGTTCCCGGAAATGTTTCAGTACACGTTTCCGTACCGGATTCCGTGCACGTTTTCCAAACATGTTTCAGTGCACTTTTCCGTTTCCATAAAGTTTCCGGACACTTTTCCTTAAACGTTTCAGCACACGTTTCTGCACATGTTTCAGTACACGTTTTCCATACATTTCCACACTCGTTTCCGTACACGTTTTCATTGCCGCGTTCCCTGCATTACATTGACTAACACTTAGTGTTCCCTAGCACGTGAGAGGGGGATTTTACTATTTCACTATCGTAACTTCATACCCCATTCATTTCAAAGAATGTGAAGAATAATTTACCTGAACCTACTAAAGGAGGCTTTTTCGTTTTAACTTGACTTAATTCCACAGTTTGTGAGGCCTTGCTTATAACCTAGGTCACACACAATAGGCTCTTAACATAAATTACCATAATGATCTCATTCTGAGTCCTTTACTAACACATTGTGTGACATTATATTTTGTGCAAATATAATAAATAAATATAACTTTTTTTTTAATGTATTTTTCCTTGATAAAAAAAACCTGCAACTGACTCAGGAGCAGCCACCACAAACGAGAAAAAACCTGCAGCTGGTACACACACACACACACACACACACACACACACACACACACACACACACACACACACACACACACACACACACACACACACACACACCAATCGGATCAATACTTTTGAACATCTCTGAGGATCTCCTAAAAAGGGATCATGTTCAGGTGATGTGAATATTTAGAGCCTCTACTTTTACAGGGACCAAAGCTGCAGCTGACTCAGGAGCAGCGACTAAGAAGAAACCTGCAGCTGGTACACACACACACACACACACACACACACACACACACACACACTAGGCTTGGAATTTCATCATTTTAGGGGCAAGGCCACAGTTTTTTAGGGCACAAAGGCCATTGAGGGAAAAATTACGATTTGGAGCTTACAAATAAATAACTTCACTTTCTGATAAGAAAAACATACGAATGACAACAAATAACTTTTTTTAATATCAATAAAGTCAAACATTATATCGTCATATAGGCCTATGCCTCCTTAGTATTACAGTATATACAATGAAATACTCTACTTTGAATAATTAGTGTTTGGTATGTTTTCTATCTACAACTTCTCCCATTCACAAATCCGAAATCAAATCATAAAATCTAAAAATATATTAAAGGTGGGGTAGGTAATTCACTTCAGAAACACTTTTTGTTATATTCCATGGAATGCTCTTAACATCCCGATAGCAATGAATACAAATTAAATGCTTTGGCCAATGGATGGCCTACCTGCCTGTCAGCCTTCCCTCTCGTGCACAAACTTATCTCGTGCCCTCATTGGTCATGTGCGCGTTCGTGTGTGTTGGAGGAGGGGCTCTGTGAGGAAGTCTGAAGGAAGGGGCAGATTTTTTTCGGTTGTGTATTTTCAAATTCTAGCGCACTCGAGCTGGTTTCTCCATTCTTACCTACCCTACCTTTAATATGTTACAAATATATTCCATTTCAGAGCAGAAGAAACAGCCTTCAAGGGTCAAACTCTGCACATAAATCATTCAGCAGTGCACAGTGAAGCTCAAACCATCAACTGTACAAACAAGCAATACTTTGAAATGCAAAAGTCTGTTTGTGTGTGTGTGTGTGTGTGTGTGTGCATGTACGAGAGCCTCTTTAATCAATTTTTTCAACTCGAGCATCAAATTTGCGTGATGCGTTGTCGCGGTAGCCAATCAGCAGTGAGGATCTCAGCCACTGACGTTGAATCAGAAAACCAAAACATCAGCCGTTAGCTGTTAGCACACAGAGCTCACAGCTCCTCATATCTGTTCAGAAACTGGACAAAAGTTAAACAAGTACAAACCACAGACTGTCTGTGTCATGGCGAATACAGTCGCTGGTTTATTTCTGTCTTTAGGACGTTGTTGTTGTTGTTGTTGTTAGTTTGGACGGAGCATATACAACGTTAGCTTAGCCTGACCGATCTCCATTCAGAAAACACACCTTTTAAATGGTTTTTCGCCTGCCGTCTGTCTGCAGACTTGTCAAAGCATTAATTCCTGGTTTTTACTAACCGGTATCAGTATGTTGTTACTTCGGCATCATTTTTAAACGTGTATTACAATTATATCACGGTAAAATATGTTCATTTTGTTGTAGTTGGTTTCTACCACAGTATTTAAATGGAGATAAGCCCCGCCCCCTATCCAGCGCGTCCTGTTTGAATAACAGGAGTAAAAATCCTAATAGCCGTGGTGAGACTCCAGCGATTAGAGCAATGCGAATATTCGCATCGCGGCCGGTGTGAACGCAGCATAATGCAGTTCAGAGACCAGAACACTGCTCTGACGCTTTTAAAGCAACTTTGAGATTTTAACAGTGTGAGGGGCACAAAGGTCATGGTGGCCGTAGGACGTACAATTATTTTAGGGGCATCACGGCCAGACCGAGGGGCAACCATGGCCGTCGTGAAATTCCTACCCTGGTAAACACACATACACACATATACACATGTACACACGCACACACACACACACAGTATACATATTATTTATCATATATTATTATTATCATTTTTATCATTTTCAGTGCTTTAAACTTTTTTAAATGTATTTGTTTAGCCGCGACGAGCAAACAAACTGACTCAGGAGCAGCGACTGAGAAGAAGAAACCTGCAGCTGGTAAAAGCATACATACACACACATACACACAACACACACACACTGTAAATGTACAACAGAAGGAGAGCTTCCGTACACATTTTGTACACGATTTCTGTACCGGATTCCGTAGACGTTTCCAGAAACGTCTACATCTACTTTTTTCTATCGTAACTTCATACCCCATTCATTTAAAAGAATGTGAAGAATAATTTACCTGAACCTACTAAAGGAGGCCTTTTCGTTTTAACTTGACTCTTAGGCGCCGTTTACACAAGGAGAAAACTGCTTGTATCTGCATAGTTTCGCGTGCGTATAGCCCTATTATTTACACGAGGCCGATAGAAACTGACCCCACAAACGATAACGGGTCCCAAGGTGGATAGATTTGCAAACGAAACGCTCTGGGGGGTCAACCGAGTCTGTGTAATCACCTCTATACGAATATTTCCTGAAAAAATAGCGATAGCCCCACCTCTCCCCACCTCTCCTGCTCACTGCTGTAGCAACTATCAAAAATAGCTGTGTTAATTAAACGCACAAGGGGTTCTTGAATGAAATAATATTATAAAAGGCAAACCAGAATTGTTAACGCCCAATATACTCCTTAAACAAAATAAACAGAGTCAGATTTCATGCATTGATCCATTATATTGACAAAGGAGCGATCTCACCCGGTGTTTGTAGAAAATATCTCTCTTTCTGAGCCGTCCTCTCCACAGAGACGTGCTTCTTGGTCGGTCGATGCAATATCCACAGATTCGGTTTCTTTCAGTTAACTTCCCCGTTGCATTTATCCATATGCTGAGGAAATGACTATATCCCGCTGAATACCAGCAATCGCCACACACACTTCCTCCTGTCAGTAGCTACTGCTAGTGCTACTGCTACTGACCATGCTACAGATATTAGTGCAAAATCTACAGCTCCTCTACCACAACCATCAGCAACAAGTGGACATGGAGAATTACATGAACTACATGTTGCTAAATACACCGCGGGGCATAAACAGAAGGGTAGCCATGGCAACATTGCGGCGGGGCTGCTCGGGCTGCTCTTCTTCGCTGCTTTTGGTGTATTTTGGCGGAAGTTACAGCGCCACTTACAGTCCCGGCATATGTACTACAGCGTTTCCAGCGGCCTCGTTTGAACAGACACGTTAAATGAAACGAATGCATGTGAACGGAAGACTTTTTTGAATACGCATACTGTGCATAAACGCAAACGTTCCCGTGTGAGTGGGGCCTCAATTCCACAGTTTGTGAGGCCTTGCTTATAACCTAGGTCACACATAATAGGCTCTTAACATAAATTACCATAATGATCTCATTCTGAGTCCTTTACTAACACATTGTGTGACATTATATTTTGTGCAAATATGTTTCTAATTTTTTTTTAATGTATTTTTCCTTGATGATAAAAAAAACCCTGCAACTGACTCAGGAGCAGCCACCACAAACGAGAAAAAACCTGCAGCTGGTACACACACACACACACACACACACACACACACACACACACACACACACACACACACACACACACACACACACACACACACACACATCGGATCAATACTTTTGAACATCTCTGAGGATCTCCTAAAGAGGGATCATGTTCAGGTGATGTGAATATTTAGAGCCTCTACTTTTACAGGGACCAAAGCTGCAGCTGACTCAGGAGCAGCGACTAAGAAGAAACCTGCAGCTGGTACACACACACACACACACACACACACACACACACACACACACACACACACACACACACACACACACACACACACACACACACACACACCAGGCTTGGAATTTCATCTTTTTGGGGGCAAGGCCACAGTTTTTTAGGGCACAAAGGCCATTGAGGGAAAAATTACGATTTGGAGCTTACAAATAAATAACTTCACTTTCTGATAAGAAAAACATACGAATGACAACAAATAACTTTTTTTAATATCAATAAAGTCAAACATTATATCGTCATATAGGCCTATGCCTCCTTAGTATTACAGTATATAAAATGAAATACTCTACTTTGAATAATTAGTGTTTGGTATGTTTTCTATCTACAACTTCTCCCATTCACAAATCCGAAATCAAATCATAAAATCTAAAAATATATTAAAGGTGGGGTAGGTAATTCACTTCAGGAACACTTTTTGTTATATTCCATGGAATGCTCTTAACATCCCGATAGCAATGAATACAAATTAAATGCTTTGGCCAATGGATGGCCTACCTGCCTGTCAGCCTTCCCTCTCGTGCACAAACTTATCTCGTGCCCTCATTGGTCATGTGCGCGTTCGTGTGTGTTGGAGGAGGGGCTCTGTGAGGAAGTCTGAAGGAAGGGGCAGATTTTTTTCGGTTGTGTATTTTCAAATTCTAGCGCACTCGAGCTGGTTTCTCCATTCTTACCTACCCTACCTTTAATATGTTACAAATATATTCCATTTCAGAGCAGAAGAAACAGCCTTCAAGGGTCAAACTCTGCACATAAATCATTCAGCAGTGCACAGTGAAGCTCAAACCATCAACTGTACAAACAAGCAATACTTTGAAATGCAAAAGTCTGTTTGTGTGTGTGTGTGTGTGTGTGTGTGTGTGTGTGTGTGTGTGCGTGTGTGCGTGTACGAGAGCCTCTTTAATCAATTTTTTCAACTCGAGCATCAAATTTGCGTGATGCGTTGTCGCGGTAGCCAATTAGCAGTGAGGATCTCAGCCACTGACGTTGAATCAGAAAACCAAAACATCAGCCGTTAGCTGTTAGCACACAGAGCTCACAGCTCCTCATATCTGTTCAGAAACTGGACAAAAGTTAAACAAGTACAAACCACAGACTGTCTGTGTCATGGCGAATACAGTCGCTGGTTTATTTCTGTCTTTAGGACGTTGTTGTTGTTGTTAGTTTGGACGGAGCATATACAACGTTAGCTTAGCCTGACCGATCTCCATTCAGAAAACACACCTTTTAAATGGTTTTTCGCCTGCCGTCTGTCTGCAGACTTGTCAAAGCATTAATTCCTGGTTTTTACTAACCGGTATCAGTATGTTGTTACTTCGGCATCATTTTTAAACGTGTATTACAATTATATCACGGTAAAATATGTTCATTTTGTTGTAGTTGGTTTCTACCACAGTATTTAAATGGAGATAAGCCCCGCCCCCTATCCAGCGCGTCCTGTTTGAATAACAGGAGTAAAAATCCTAATAGCCGTGGTGAGACTCCAGCGATTAGAGCAATGCGAATATTCGCATCGCGGCCGGTGTGAACGCAGCATAATGCAGTTCAGAGACCAGAACACTGCTCTGACGCTTTTAAAGCAACTTCGAGATTTTAACAGTGTGAGGGGCACAAAGGTCATGGTGGCCGTAGGACGTACAATTATTTTAGGGGCATCACGGCCAGACCGAGGGGCAACCATGGCCGTCGTGAAATTCCTACCCTGGTAAACACACATACACACATATACACATGTACACACGCACACACACACACACAGTATACATATTATTTATCATATATTATTATTATCATTTTTATCATTTTCAGTGCTTTAAACTTTTTTAAATGTATTTGTTTAGCCGCGACGAGCAAACAAACTGACTCAGGAGCAGCGACTGAGAAGAAGATACATACACACACATACACACACACACTGTAAATGTACAACAGAAGGAGAGCTTCCGTACACATTTTGTACACGATTTCTGTACCGGATTCCGTAGACGTTTCCAGAAACGTCTATATCTACTTTTTTCTATCGTAACTTCATACCCCATTCATTTAAAAGAATGTGAAGAATAATTTACCTGAACCTACTAAAGGAGGCCTTTTCGTTTTAACTTGACTCTTAATTCCACAGTTTGTGAGGCCTTGCTTATAACCTAGGTCACACATAATAGGCTCTTAACATAAATTACCATAATGATCTCATTCTGAGTCCTTTACTAACACATTGTGTGACATTATATTTTGTGCCAATATGTTTCTAATTTTTTTTTAATGTATTTTTCCTTGATGATAAAAAAAACCTGCAACTAACTCAGGAGCAGCCACCACAAACGAGAAAAAACCTGCAGCTGGTACACACACACACACACACACACACACACACACACACACACACACACACACACACACACACACACACACACACACACACCAATCGGATCAATACTTTTGAACATCTCTGAGGATCTCCTAAAGAGGGATCATGTTCAGGTGATGTGAATATTTAGAGCCTCTACTTTTACAGGGACCAAAGCTGCAGCTGACTCAGGAGCAGCGACTAAGAAGAAACCTGCAGCTGGTACACACACACACACACACACACACACACACACACACACACACACACACACACACACACACACACACACACACACACACACACACCATCATCATCGGCGGTCACTCGTAGTCGAGTATGACTGTCCTCCTTCTTGGTCCTTGTGGGTCTTCAGGTGGGCATAGAGGCCGATTCTGGACCCGATTATTCTTGTGCAGTGTGGACAGGGGAATGTAGTGGTGGAGGGTTTGGGTTGGACCTGTTTGATGATTGCTCTCTCCTTCCTGAGTCTGCGCTTGTCTTGTGCAGCATGACAGAGGTCATTATTATATAGTGCAGCACCCTCACGGACAAGGTTTCTCCAGGTCGCCCTGTCTGTTGCCATGTCTTCCCAAGCTTTTAGGTCTATGTGGCACTTCTTTAGGTTTGTTTTTATGTTATCTTTGTACCTCTTCTTTTGGCCTCCAGGGGCCCGTTTCCCTTTAACAAGCTGGGAATAAAGGACTTGTTTTGGGAGGCGAGAGTCAGGCATGCGGATAACATGGCCAGTCCATCTGAGCTGGTTTTGGGCAATGGTGGCAGTGATGGTGGGAATGTCAGCCTCCTCCAGGACGCTGGTGTTAGTGTGCCGATCCTCCCAGCTAATCCTGAGGATTTTTCGGAGGGATCTCTGATGGTATGCCTCAAGTGCCTTTAAGTGCCTGCTGTATGTGGTCCAGGCTTCTGATCCATACAGAAGAGTGGGGAGCACCACAGCTTTATAGACCAATATTTTGGTCTTTGCTTGGAGGTCACGGTTCTGAGAAAGCCCCACTGGCACAGCTGAGGCGATGGTGTATTTCATCATCAATAACAGCTTTTGATGATAGGAGGCTGCCAAGGTATGGGAAGTAGTCCACATTTTCCAGTCTGATGTTGTCAATGGAGATGTTTGGGGGTAGGACAGGCGTACTGCTGTTTGGTGGTGGTTGGTGGAGGATTTGGGTCTTTTTTATGTTGATGGCTAGACCAAGCTGTTTGTATGCTTTCGCAAAGGCTGATAGGATACCCTGTAGGTCCTCTTCCGAGAGGGCTACAAGGGCGCTGTCGTCCGCATACTGCAGCTCCGTGATCGATATGGTGGTGGTTTGACCTTTAGCCCTGAAACGGTTGATGTTGAGGAGTTGGCCGTCAGTTCTGTATATGATGTTGACTCCCTGGGGCAGATGCTTGCTTGTGAGATGTAGGATAGCAGCAACAAAGATGGAGAATAGCGTTGGAGCGATGACACATCCCTGTTTGACTCCTGTGTCGACCCGGAAGGGTTCAGTTTCGTCTCCACTGCCACTGAGTACCGTGGCTGACATATTGTCATGCAGCAGTCTCAGTACCCGGACATATTTTTCTGGGCAGCCAATCTTTGCCAGTACCAGCCAGAGGGCCTGACGGTTCACTGAGTCGAAGGCTTTGGTGAGGTCTATAAAGGCCATGTATAATGGTTGATTTTGTTCCCGGCATTTTTCTTGCAGTTGGCGAGTAGTGAAAATCATGTCTGTAGTGCCTCTGTTTGGGCGAAATCCACTCTGAGACTCAGGAAGGATGCTTTCTGACAGGGGGGTGAGTCTGTTGGCCAACACCCGAGCTAGGGCTTTCCCTATGGTGGACAAGAGAGAAATGCCACGGTAATTTCCGCAGTCTGCCCTGTCTCCCTTCTTAAATATGGAGACAATTAAGGCATCCCTAAGCTGAGCAGGGATTTCCTCTTCTTCCCAAATTTTGAGAAGCAGGGCATGGATGTGCTTAAGAAGATCGGGTCTGCCTTTCTTCAGGACTTCTGCTGGGATGCCGTCGGGCCCAGCAGCCTTGTTGTTTTTCATATTCTTAATGGCATCCAGCACCTCACCCAGGCTGGGTGGTTCTCCCATGCTTTCAACTATGGGCTGTTGAGGGAGTTGGTCAAGAGCCTCAATCTCAGGAATGGTGTCCCTGTTTAAGAGGTCCTTATAGTGCTCTTTCCACCTGTTTGCTTTTGCATCCTTGTCCTTCAGAAGCAGGAGCCCATCTTTAGAGCGAAGGGGGGTTAGGCGGCGATAGCTGGGACCATATACCGCTCTTGTGGCATCAAAGAATCCTCTTGTATCACCAGAGTCGGCAAGCTGCTGGATCTCCAGAGCCTTCTTTGTCCACCACTGGTTCTTCAGTTTCCTAACTTGCGTTTGGACGGCTGCCTTCGCTTTGGCATGGGCTGCTCTTTTCACCTTGCAGTGGATGTTATTTTGCCAGGTGATGAAAGTTTGCCGCTTGATGTCAATGAGTTGCTGAATCTCGGTGTCATTCTCATCATACCAGTCTTGATGCCTCCGCTTTTTTTGACCAAGAATGTTTTTGCAGGAGTTCATGATGGCAGTAGAAAGTGTGCCCCAGTGTTTTTCAGTATCCTCCGGATACTGTTTGGGCAAGGCTGCGCTAAGAGCATCCTGCAGCTGTTGTTGGTAGGTGGTGTCACCCAACAGGTCGATGTTAAGCTTTGGCCGGCTCTGTCTTTTCTGCATCCTTCTTTTCCGCATTAAGCGGATAGACATGATGGAGCGAATGAGGCGGTGGTCAGTCCAGCAGTCGTCTGCACTGGTCATTGCTCTGGTGTTAAGAACATCACGGCGGTCTTTGGAGCGGACAATGACGTAATCAATGAGATGCCATAGTTTGGAGCGAGGATGCACCCATGATGTTTTGAGTACACACACACACACACACACACACACACACACACACGCACACACACACACACACACACACACACACACACAGTATACATATTATTTATCATATATTATTATTATCATTTTCATCATTTTCAGTGCTTTAAACTTTTTTAAATTTATTTGTTTAGCCGCGACGAGCAAACAAACTGACTCAGGAGCAGCGACTGAGAAGAAGAAACCTGCAGCTGGTAAAAACACACATACACACAACACACTGTAAATGTACAACAGAAGGAGAGCTTCCGTACACATTTTGTACACGATTTCTGTACCGGATTCCGTAGACGTTTCCAGAAACGTCTACATCTACCTTTTTCTATCGTAACTTCATACCCCATTCATTTCAAAGAATGTGAAGAATAATTTACCTGAACCTACTAAAGGAGGCCTTTTCGTTTTAACTTGACTCTTAATTCCACACAATAGGCTCTTAACATAAATTACCATAATGATCTCATTCTGAGTCCTTTACTAACACATTGTGTGACATTATATTTTGTGCAAATATGTTTCTAATTTTTTTTTTTTTTATGTATTTTTCCTTGATGATAAACAAACCTGCAACTGACTCAGGAGCAGCCACCACAAACGAGAAAAAACCTGCAGCTGGTACACACACACACACACACACACACACACGCACACACACACACACACACACACACACACACACACACACACATACATAGTATATACATTATTTATTATGTGTTATATTATTATATTTATAATTTTCGGTGCGTTAAAGTTTTTAAAATGTGTTTGTTTAGCAACAACAATACAAAAAACTGACCCAGGAGCAGCGACCAAGAAGAAGAAACCTGCAGCTGGTAAACACACACACGCACGCACGCACGCACGCACGCAGGGCCGTTTCTAGCTTTTTGGGGGTCCTAGTTTTTACAGTTTTTTAACTACAATGGGGGGGATTCCGAAGCCTTTAAGATGATCTGTGGAGACGTATCAATCTGTTACACTTTAATAGGAAAACAGGCTAATTTCACGAAAACCAAGCAATTGAAAATTACAAAAAATGATATTAAAAAGGTAAACAATAAGGCTCCTCTATGTCAATAGGCACGTTCACACCAAGTACTTTTCCCACAATAGTTCATGAGAACTTTAGTTCATGAGAACTCTTTTAGTTCTGATGAACTAAAGCAGATCGCGTTCACACCAAAATGAGTTCCTGGAGGTGGATTAGGCAAATGAACCGCTGACGTCACTTCTTCTTCTTCTGCTTTGGGTTTACTGGCAGGCCGCAAACAACTTCACGGCGAGTACAGTAGGTGGCGGTATGCACCTTAAAGTTGCAATCCGCCAAAAAAACGAGAGAAAAAGAAGAAGAAAAACCTCCCGCGTATACTGCCGCGCCCACCTGCTGTATATGAGGCGTCTGTTTACCTTCCGACCTCAGACATGAGCTTCGTCTGAGTTATTTAAGCAAACACAAATACAGATCGTCGACCAGTCAAATGCAATAGCAATGCTGATTCGGAAGCGAAGGCGGTTAAGAAGGATTGACAAAAGGATTGGACGACGACATGCACGCGCTACGCTACGTGTGAAATGAATAAACTGTGCCAGGTGTGTCGTATGCACACTAAATAGGCTCAGCAGCTAACACACCTTTATTATATATCCTCCTGAGAGCAACTGCATCCGTCTGCCATGAACCCTTCAGAAACCTACGTGTTAGTTTTGGCCCATGGTGGCCTCCATTTGTGTCGTGTAAAATGGGGGAAATCAAAAGTTAGCAAATCCCCATGTCATGTTCATAAAAACATTTAGTTTTAGGTCAAATAATTATTACACTGCTCTGAAACTCACTACACTAACTCCTAAGATGTTCCCTTACTATAATTAATAAAAAATATTGAACTCACAACACTGGTAATAACAAACTTAACCATTTCTCTTTCTATAAATAAATAGTGCTTGTGTTGGACGCCATTTTGAAATACAATGAAATTATCTTTTTGAAAGCCACAATAAATAAAGCTTCGCCAGTTTTTAACCGATGAAACATGATGGTATCAGAATAATCACTTACATGTGATGTACTGTATAGGATGCTACACAGGTCACTGTAAAGATAAAGTGTCAGAGGAGAAATAAGCAAGCTTAGTTACATGAAATGTAATGAAAAATGTAAGATACAGGCTCTGTTTAATCGCCATGTAGGTTCTCTTTTATTGCACACTCAAGACAATATCAATAACAGCATCACGCTGTCCCAGGTGTGTCGTATGCATGTAAATAGAAGTTAACATTTTCAATATCAAATAAAGTGTCAGTAGTATCAAAACATATATATATATATATATATATATATATATATATAATATAACAATAGGTAGGCTCAGCAGCAGACACACCTTAGTGCAAAGTGAAGTGTCAGTATTAATAACAGTGGCATATATATATATATAATCACAATAATACAAAATTAACTGTCCCAGGTGTAGGCAATTTGGGGTGAAGTGTCTTGCCCAGGGACACAACGACATGCTGACTGCAGTGGGGTTTGAACCTGTGCTGCCCTGATCCGAACACCAACGCACCAGACCACCGCACCACACGCCTCCCAACAAGTCATTGTACAGTTTATCAACGACGACAAGTTTTTCTTTATTTTTTTATTGAAGGCCTGTTGGATTTAATCAGCTCGCTTAGCACTGCCAGAAGCCCAGCCTGAAAGGTATTTTGTTGCTCCACCTGGCGCGCCGACACCTCCACCTGGCGCGCCGCCGAGTCAGCATGGCGCGGCATCACCATGAGCAGCTGGTCGTCCGATTCCTGGGCCTTGTGTGAATGCAGCAGCCGTTCGTCGTTGTTTACGAACCCGCTAGGGATGAGGAAAGTAACACACACCAGATTGGAATTGGTAATAATTATAATAGGGTTTAATGAGTAACAACAAAGGTGCACAACAAAATGAGATCAAAAGTAGCCTAAGCCAAACAAAGAAGCCAAAAGGGCACAGTTCTACTGCTAGTAACAGAAGGAGGACTCTAAAAATGAGCCTAATTAACACACCTGAGATCACTTCCAATCAACACTATTGGAAGGAGGCTGCAGGAAAACGCAGCTAACAAAATAAACTAAACACACCACTCTAAACACATATCTCAGCACGCTACTCTAAGCACACATATAAACACGCTACACTAAACACGGATCACAAAAGTCAAACACAGTCTATAGCTCAAGTCTGAAGTGTCCACGACACAGGAGCAAAATGTGTGAGGTGTCTGATCGCAGCAGAGCCTCCCGAGTGATAGATGTCCCCAGGCTTTGTAGTCATCTCCAGCAGGTGTGCACCGGCTGTGCGCTGCGATTGGAGTGCGTCGGGCCCGGCGTGCTCCAATCACAATCTTCAGGGGGGCGGACCAGGAGATGGCAGCCAATGACGTTGGGGCAACTACACAGCTCATTTACATATGGAACAGCAAACAGCAAAACAGAATTAACAGGACCGGAGAGGCGACGGCCGTCACAGTCGTGCATCTCCTTGGCACGCAGGTCCTCATTCTCCTTGCTGACCATGGCACGGTGGTCCTCCATCACCATGATGGTGTCAAGAAAGCTGTCATCCCGTGCCCGCTTTCCTAAGGAGAAATAAGCAAGATACAAGATCAGTTTAATCGCCTAGTAGGTTGTCAACAGAGACAACATTGGACATGGTGCAGACAGGGACAGTGTACAAAATGCAGGTGTAAAGTAGAAGATAAGATAGCATCAAATAGCTGACGCTCAAAGTGCCCTTATTTATTGTTTTATATTTTGTGTGCTTAATGTACGCTTGAACTTTGTCCAAAAATGATACGTTTTCATACCGGAAGTCATGTGACCTTTAGCCCGGATGTTTATGAGAGAGTGAAAAGGGCGCTAAAAGTGTAAACGATGTATTTTCACAGTGTTTCATAATTGTACCAAGAAGGAAATAAACGTGATTAGTGGACATCAGTTCGATGTGTAACGTTCTTTCAAGACCAGAGTAGTTACAGTGTGTTTATACGTACTTTTGCGTTTGGATGGTTGAAAAGGAGACGAGAAAGTCCTGCCGTTGTGATCCGGAGGGGAAAGCTCACTTGTTTCCAATCCAGAGAGTTGTCCTGCCTCACCTGAAACACACGATTAGTGCCATGAGTTAGTGAAGCAAATTACAGAAAACATTAAACACTTATTCACAAGTCAAAAACGTTTTCATAGCGGCCGAGAATGATGTTATTAGCCATGCTAGGCTGAACTGGCTAGCAGTATTAGCCAGTTCTGGCTAGCATGGCTAGCTCGATCTACTGAGCAATTAAAAGTACATCTGAGACCAGTATTGTGCAGATTAAAACAGTGCAGTGCATGTAGTTTATTTTACCTTTGTAGTAGTCGTCGTAGGACAATTCACAGGCCACTGAATCCGCCGTTTCACCACAAGTGCCGGAGAATGAGGGCTAACTTTACCGAACAACGCTGATACATTTTGCAGTTGGAAACTGCCTTCAGTAGAAGCTGCTGGATCCCATCCTCCGAGTAAATCGCCAGACGTGCCGACACATCCTCATCACTCCACCGCTCCGATGATTTTCGTATTCTTATTGTTGCCATAATAACTGCTTTCACAAAAGTACTCTCGTTGGTGCGCTGGGCTAATAATGCCAGCAAATACAATGGCCGCTCCAAAAAAAAAATCAGAGTTAAACGGGGCGTGGTTTGCATTCCGCACAGCTAATCAGACGTGTGAACTTTTTTCTCCCACGAAAGTCCCTGCTCTCTAGCAGGGACTGAAAACGGGGTACAAATGGTTCTGATGAACTAATTTAGTTCCTGGGGCTTTTTGGTGTGAACGCAAATATATCGTAGTTCTGATGAACTATTGTGGGAAAAGTACTCCGGTGTGAACGCGCTATATAAATGCAAGAGATGCATTTTCTCAACAATGCTTAATTTACATTTTTCATCTTCCTCAGACGTCACTCATTGGCTGACAGCCCAACGATGATTTGGACTTTATTATCCCAAAAACACAAGCCACAGCTTTGCTATCATTGCAGTTTAGTCGTGTTTATATCCTACATTGGATTTTTAAGCATATAATGCTTCACCGAACACAGGAGGGGGCTTGGCTGTCTACAAATAAAGACAGCTCATTTTAATTCTCCCCAAATATATTGAGGCTGAACCTGAACTTTGAATTCTCTGCTCCCATCATAATCTTGGCGATCTTGTTAAAATTGTGAATGCAGAATTAGAAATACTATGTAACTGGTTTGCAGTTAATAAATTATCTCTTAATGTGGCCAAAACAAATTACATGTTATTCAATACAAAGTCTGAGAGTAGAAATGACTGCATTATACGGATTTGCAATACCGAGATAGAAAAAGTTGGTGCATGTACATTTTTAGGACCGCTTGTTGGCGAAAAAACTCAAATGGAAGCACCATATAAATTATGTACAGACTAAACTGTCAAAAACAATAGGTATTTTGTATCATACTCAGAACATTCTTGAAGAAAAAATACTCTTTATAACAGTCTATTTCTCCCTTACCTTTACTACTGCTCCGAAATATGGGGAAACACGCACTCAACAAATCTACAAAAAATAATAACATCCCAAAAAAAAGTATTACGAATAGTCTGTGGTGTTGGTAAATATGAACACACAACTCCCATATTTAAAAAAACTCAATCTATTCAAATGTGTTGACATAGTACAGCTTAAAACAGTACTGATTATGCACAACATTTTCCATAACAAAATGCCTAATAACATTCAAAAGCAGTTCCAAACCACAGCGTGAACATATGAATGTAAAAAAAGTCACTT